CAGTGATGACATTCGAAATATTTAACAAAGGGTTCGCTAACAGAAAATTTTTCCTTAACAATTTTTTTTTCGCTCAAATGGTGCATCGGAAGCCTCTAGTTTAGTAGTGTTACAGAGTATAATACGTATATTTTAATATTTTTAAAAGAATCAAACCATTGAGAAATGTTACATGTGTTTAACAAGGTTCTGAAAACTTTGAAAATGTTAACAACGGGTTCGGCCGAACCTGTGCGAACCCGCTGAATATCACCACTGTTTGTGAATCATATGTATACTGTACAGTACATGTCTGAAAAATAATTATATATATATTAATCAATATGATGACTTTGTGCAATGATATCTACATTAATATTTGTAGGCCTTTCAATCAAGCCTAACACAAGTATAGTCATGTGATATATCACCTTCAGACTGATTAACAAGTGTGTAACAAATAGAAAGTATACAGCAGTATGTGCTGGTATAAGTATACAGCAATGGCTGCAATGTTCAGATTTCATATCTTATCAAATTTTGCAAAAATACAAAAAGCATCCAATAATCTGGAATTTTCAAAATTCTAGCACTACTATGGTCCCATAGGTGACACTTAACAAATTTCTGCTCTATATAGTTCTTAAATAAGTATCATTTCTGTACACCTTGCACTAGAGAATTCCATCAAAGTTGTCAAAACTACTACATTTTGATTAAAATTTTGGCTATCAGCTTTTATGGTCAAATGTCAGCTTTTTCTGGCCATGACATCAGTTTTTACAAAATTACAAGTTGAGAGCTTTGGGACACGGTCCTTGCCAGCAGAAGCAGTCCCAAACTATCACTGATCCTCCACTACATCATACTTGGGAACAACAGTCGTGACTGAACTATTATCTGGACAAGCACCAAACCCAAACTCACCCATCCAATTGGTTAAGTGTATAGCATAATTCATCACTCCACATGATTTTCTTCCAATCATCTACGATCCAGGAATATTGTTATTTACACCATTAGAGCCATTAGCTTGTGTTGGATCATGAGATTTGAGGCTTGTGGGTGGCACATCTGTTGTGATAACAGCAACTGTGCAACTCCCACTGGACAGTTTTGTCAATGCTTGCTACACTTGTACTTGCTGAAAATTCTCAACAATATTGACAGTGGCAGACATGTGCTTTTTTCTCACAATGTGTACTAATGCTCTTCTCCCACGATCAGTGAGTTTCTGAGGCCATCCACTTCTATGTGCAGGTCCACACGTTTCAGTTTCTTTCCATTGGATTTTGGAAATTCCAGAAGCCTGGAAACAATAAGTACAAGCTGATTATTGTGATGGCATCCAATAATCATTCCTCGCTGAACATCAGCGAGCTATTTTCCATGTAGCATTTTGGCAAGTGTGCAAAATGATAGAAATGAACATGACAACTCTATATGATCACAAGACAAACAGAAGGAAACTTTTTGCACCTTTATAGCACTTGTCCCTTTTTATCAGTGTGTTCAAATACTTTTGTCCACTTGGTATATATCCAATATCCAATTATCAATTACAAAATAAATCATATTTATAATTTGTTTTTATCCATTCTAAATAAAATACAAAATTAATAAAAAAAAATATATAAAACTTAGATTGTTAGGAAAAATTGCATAATAATTTACATAGAAAATAAAACTGAGAAAAAAAATTCATAATTTTTTAAAAGGAGCAAACAGATATCAAAACACAAACATTATATAGTAGAGCATCATTTATCCTAATCAATTGGGGACTGGGGTTGTTCAGATAACTTATTTTTCAGATAACCAATTATGTACAAAAAAATATATTAACCTATCCCATGTTGAAATTTTTCTCCATTGCGTGTCACTTTGCGTTGAATTTTTATAGATGTTAAGCCTAACGAAAATTTTTATAATAATAATTGTGGCTATTGTATCGTTAAAAACTATTTCTTTATTTTGTACAAACAAAATAAATATGTGAAAAAAAAAATTACTTTAGAAGTTAATCTAGTATCAAAAAACATTTGATTCAACACAACACACAGTCCTCAGAAAAACACTACACAAAAGTGCCAGTGCTGTCAGCTAAAACACACACACCAACAAAAAAAATATAGGAGTAGCCCAAGACAGCCAAAGGTTGCAGCGCCACAGCACTAGTGGAAATTTAAATTTGCTGACTGGAACGCTTTCGGTTGACCAGCTTTCAGATAAACGATGCTCTACTGTATTGTGATATTTTAATGATAAAACTTTTATGCTTATATTATCTCACTTTCTGAAGAATCTGGATTATCATCACTATCTAAATCCATTTCTACTTGTTCATAATTATCACCCAGTGAATTGCATAGATGATCCTTTCCTTTCTGTAAAAAAAAAAATTTATATTAATATATACTTTAAATTTATTAATTAATTAAATATATACTATAAATTTTAAAAAATATACAGTGGAACCTCGGTATACGTCTGCTTTAGAATACGTCCAATTCGGAATATGTCCTGTTTGGACGAAACAAATTTTGCTCGGTATACAACTTTTGTTCGGGATACGACTTATTTCAATTATACGCGCCATCTATGAACAAGTAGCAGTACCGGTGTACTACACTAGACTAGACGTTCGCGGTGCTACGGTTTATAACTTTCTTAAATTTCTTCTGATTTTAATTTGTAAGTAACATTTTATTATTTTTATTAATCATGAATTGCAAAAGGGCAACAGAAAAATAAAAAATTGACTAGAATCACAACGGAACTGAAAAAAGAGATTATTGAGAAATACGAAGGTGGCACGCGTGTTCTAGATTTTAACTGTTGCCAACCGTATTCCGAGAACGACGATATGGACAATCGCGAAAAATAAAGACATTATTAAATTTTCTAACGTTGCGAAAGGGGTTAAATCAATTTCTAAACAGAGATCGAAGACATTAGATCAGTCGAGAAATTGCTTTTGCTTTGAATAACTGAAAAACAGTGTGCCTGAGACAGCGTATCGGAAGAAATTATTTGCGAGAAAGTTAAAAGGATACATGCTGATCTCATGAAAAATCAAGCAGAAACTAGCGAGGAAAGCCCGGTGTTTAAAGCCAGCCATTTTTTTTACATGAGAACGGATTAATCATTTTTACATTACTTCTTATGGAAAAGGTTGGTTTGGTATACGTCCTATTCGGTATAAGTCCAAACACCAGGAACGGATTAAGGTCGTATACCGAGGTTCCACTGTAT